AAATGTCTTTATTCCGAAATACCTAAGATTAAAGTTAGCAAATGCAAATTCAAAAGAGAAGGCGGCGATCGCGGCATCGCCCACCAGCACTCATTGGCCGCCAAGCCAACAACTAGTCGAACAACTTCAAGCACTAAAGTAGCAAAATATTACTTTCAAAATTCCTTTTACATTATTTTCCAAAAAAGTACGACAAAATTAATGCTAAGTGCAGTACTTGAAGTGTCCACTTGATTGGATTTTTAATAAATCAGGACTTTAATTACTCGAGCCCAAAGATTAATGCATTACAGTCTTGACACAAATATTTCGTACAAAGCCATTTATAATACCGGTTCGCCTACATGCCATTACTGTTTTTGCTATTAAAACTTGATTGTCAATCAATTGGACAAACATTGAAATCTTTGACACCTATAGCTTTGACTGACAGACTTTATTTGTATGTTCGTATAAGATAATCGCCCACCATTGAACCTGTATCTTTTCATTCACTATCTCTGTATCTATCTTTGCTTTGTTTGACAGGTTATTAATTACATCTGCATTATTATTTGGTTTTGTTGCGTACTATTGTTTAAGATCAATTTAGTTCATTGTTTATCGAGTTTCTAATTCGTTTATAGTAATCTCTCGAACCAAATCCTTAAATCCAATCATTTACGCATAGATATCCCTTATCAGCGTATTGATAAGTTAAGGCACTCGATACAGCTAACTGCGTAGTATCGCTTCACCAATTTCACCTGAACTACCGTGTTATCATTTTCATGTAATAGCACGATATTGTTTTGGTTTATGAGTGGACGGCGGAAGTTCCGTGCGGCTTGGTCACGAGCAGCCGCCGCGTCGCTGCCGCGTGACAACTTACACGAAGTACAACGCCGATATCTCCCCAAGATACTCCGACATCTGATAGTACACTTTCATCCACAAAACATCGACGGCCGCGCCCCTGCAATTAAGATTATCTCGTCATGATTAAGAGATTATCTGAAATTGCGCAGCTCTAGGCACACTTTATGACTCGGTGGAATATTTTGCTACTGTCTGGCGACGGTTATATATAGACGACGATTTATTTCTCTGGCGTAGGGAAAACTAGTCAATGACGTTATATCTTGTAACATTAATGCCGTTATCTGCTCGGTACACATTGACAATTATTGTGTCCTCGATCACATTCCGGGGAACGGGGCTCATTCATTATAGATAATGTTCCACCAAGCGTTGTTTTGAAAGTTGCGTTGCTCGCTAAAATTGTACTTTAACTGTCGTTTAAAGACCTTCCTAATTACCACATAGTATTGCGCACTGTCATGAATATGCGAGAGAAATCTATCAAGATGTTAATGCAGAAACCGGACAAGCCCCGTTCGAAGTAAATTATGAGTAAAATGTATTAACTCTGACAGGTATCCATATCGGGCATTCTCGTTGTCAGATCGCGGCAAATGGAAGTCTAATTGAGGACATAAATCTGCACGAACTCCTGCAATTACGATCGGGACATCGTTCGGAGCGCGCTGATTAATAAACGCTCCTAATGATCGATCGGTATCTTTCGAAAATTATGACATTCGTGATTTTTGTCACGTACAAACAACAATCGCGTTTCTAGGGAATCTGGTTACTAATTTGCACCACTTTAATTATCTACAACATTCTTTTGATAAAGTAATTACAAGGACGTTGGTAAGGTCACTGCATTGATATGTACCTTGTTTGTTTTTGATTTGTGTACAGTTATCTGCGATAGCAATATGTATTTCAATGACTTAAAAAGCTTTTAATCTATTTTTCTCATCACAATCTGCCATGGCCAATTCGGAAGTACTGCTAGCCTTCTGGTCATTATCTCTTTTATTAGAGTGATTCTTATGCTATAGTCCATTTGGCAGTTCCCTCCAATGTCTGTGATACGTGCAGTTTACATATTTCCAATTCCAAGTGTTGGTCTTGGTAAACAAGTGTGTTGCTATAACAATTCACATAGCAGGTAACGAGATAGCGTCGGTTGGACTCATGGTAAATATTGATATGTCCCAACTTGAGTACACAGTCGTTTATCACGAATCATTGAACTCCGCAAGGTGCTTTCTTTGACCAGTTTGACTTATCCAGTTCACCTGTTTGCCAACTGGAAATTACACAAATTACTGTGATTGATAATGTTTATTTCATTATTAGGAAATTTGAAAATTTCGGGTGCGTGATTGGTACTCAATGGAATTAAATACATACTTTTGATATTATTAATTTGTGGTTATTTTATAATAGAAGTCATGTAATCAGTCAAAGAAAGTAATTATGTAGACATGCGCGCGCGCAAATATTGTCACTGCGACCCTCTTATCGTACAAACAACGGTACTCTCAGGTGAATAAGATGGATCTGTTTGCGCCGAATATACAGAGAATATCACTGAACTGTGTAATTTTAAAAACCATCACAATTTAACACACGGTCCCATGGGTCATTGGAAGATTAAGGGTGTGTAAAAACTATTACGTAACCTGCGTTTAACCTGATACTCCTTAATCCTCGGTCCACAAAAAATATAGGGATCCTGTTTCGTAAGGAGGCGGGGTGCGCGGGCGCGCGGTGTCCCGGCACCTCGGAGGCGCGCCACTCTGCCGCCGAATAAATTATGTTCTTTGGCCCTATCCCCGCGCCCGCGCGTGCCCCTCGGGACCTTATCGATCGGGTTGGATAATCCGAGAGGTCGCTAGATAGCCGGCGCTTGTGCGCCGTACTATGATGATGACCTCTCACCCCGGCATGATCGGAACGAAATGCCAATTGCAAGAGTCACGACAAACGCTCGCGAGATAAAGGGGACATATGTACGTACTCTGTGCTTCGTCCTAAGTGCTCTTAAAACGTTATCCTCGTTTGAATCTCTTCGCACGTTACTTTCTCCATTCGGAGTTTTTATCTTTATCGCGTCTGATTCGTCCGACGGAACTGTGATCCAGTTTATTCATATCTAAAACAAGATGGAGTGCGATGCTGTGTTCTACATCAAATTCATCTTGATCAATTGCCCTTTTACTTGTATCTCAGTAACAAATCGATTTATGTGAGCGGTTGCAGTACACTTGATGTCGATATTCTCGTATTTATTAATCGATATCAGAAACATCTGCGCTGTTTGGCGAAACGAAATCAAATGTTGCACGTGTCGCGGACTCGCGGCTCGATCATATCAACATTACTAGCGCGTTTGAATGTAAAACATTGTTTGAAAGTGTTATCTGGACTGAACTGGGCTGCACGCCGATGCTCACTGAGGATTTGATTTGTGGATAATCATATAACCATCTCACTGATGAGCTTCTGATGGTTCGCTCAAGTGTCACCGCTGACGATCCCACGGGAAAATGACAAAATGTTTATCTCAAAGCTGAGCAGCGGTTCGTGTCGTTACAGTGACACGAATTTACGTTCCGAATTTCACTTAATCGAACCATCAAGAGGCTAATCATGAATGACATTAAGCCTAATAATGTCAATTATTTGCAAATTGATGGCTCAGACGAGCAAGAACAATAGTGTGTCGTCTATTTACGCATGTAATTGGAATTTATAAACCTAATTTACATACGATTTGGCAATCGTCACGCTCAAATACAGTTCGGCGCGTACCCGCATAGGTATTCTGGTGTTTGTGCCCGAGTTAATATCTGCAATTGGCTGGATCCTTGAGATGCATTAATGTTGCCGTAGAATCGGCACTACCGTTATGAATCGAGGCAATTGGACGCGGCGTGCGCACGTGAGGAACATATGCCGCGGCCGCGGAGAGATCGACCGACGCTTTTGCAATACGAGATAGGGCTCATGCATGACCAAATCGGTCCGAAGAGACAAGACCACCGAGCCGAGTTCACCTTACCGGGAAACCGTTTGTGCAATCGACGATTACGATTCTCACAGTGAGGGTCCGCGTGGATACTTTTCACGGAGGGAAAATTACACCCGATCCATCGTCCAGAAAAGGAAAGGTCCATAAAATACAAACCTACGAGCTGCTCATAAAATAATCACATTAAGCTTCGCGATTAGTTCAGCATCGTAAGGTTTTATTACTTGCGTTTCTCTTAATAACATGTGGAAGTCGCGTAGGCTGTAAACTATAAAAAGCTTCAGCATGAATACAGGTTGGATTTCAAGAACTGATACCAATTTTATGTCCTTGCGAAAATTATTGGTGGAAATGTCGTGCTTACTTTCACGGAATATAATTTTCGTCGGATACTGTTGTCACATCTGATTCTGTTGTCTATTTATATCCCTCTACTGTAGAGCAACAACATCATCAACTGATACTCGAATTCAGTTAGATATTTACCAACAGCTAGTTGTTTATATTTTGCAATTAGATCGTGTAAACAGTTGTTATCGTGGCGGGCGTCAATGATTCGCGTCGCGTCCCCGCGTTGGAGTGCGAGCGCGCGGGCCGTCTGCGGGCGGCAGTGTTGCCAGTCGGGTCTTGTCAGAAATTACCAGAAATATAATAAAATGTAACCTTTTTGAATAAAGTGCGGATTGTTCATGAATGGAAAATGAATACAATTGATCATCAATCGTTTACCCGAATTCGAAATTTTGACTATTCCATGAAGACCGAAAAGTGACCGGTCGTATAAAAACGTTTCATGGATTTGCGTTTCACTATCGAAAAACATTCGGTAAAACTCATTTTTTTTTAACAAATAAAAATTCAAATTCATGTTTAAATGCAGTTTATGACATAATTTTTAAATTGTCACTATTAATGTTTTTTACTGAATAACCTGTAAAAGTTAATTCTACAATTTCTGAAAAATCACCTAAAAGTAACCTTTTCATTAGTGTAACCTAAAAGTAACCAATGCAGTTCAAAAGTAACCTTCTGGCAACACTGGCGGGCGGCGCGCTATCGGGGCATGCGGAGGCTGCAGCGGACAGCGGTGCATAGTGCACGGGGCGGGGCGGGGGCTCCGCCTGCCCGCGCCGGCCGCGCTCAGTGTCCTCCGGCCGGCCGCCCGCGCCTCTCGTGACGACCGCCGCTCGTTGTCACTCCCCACAATAATCTTCGCGGTGTAAAAATAAAGCCCGCGACAGACGGCGGCTCCCCAAGTTATATTTAAATGATAGCGCGGACGTTGGATCTTGCCCGCCTCGACCGCTCGCCGCCATCATGAGACTGAGTACGTGCGACACCTTCAGAATCAGCCTCCTAAACTAGAACACCTATGCTTCACGCCCGCAAGCATGTGTATTGTATTTCAGTCGCTCCGCGAGCGCCTCAAGGCTCTCGAATCAGGATGTGTTCAAGTGCTGTCCCAAGTGTCAACATTGGCCTTTCTGTCTGGACTCGAAGGATCGTGATCTTACGGAGTAGTTGAGTTTCCGTTTTTGAACGGATTTGAATAGTGGAAGGTGGTGCTGGTTGAATTATTCATCGTTTCCTGTCTTTGTCGTTTACCATGGGTTTATCTTCGTTGTAAGTAGCGCTAATGGATTCGAGCCTGCTGGGCGTCATATGCACAGCTTGCCAATGTTTTGTGAGTAATGATTCATAGCAGAAGTTTAGAATAACTCGTATCCTTGTAAATAGGAAAACTCAACTCATTAGCTATTTAAATTCGTCAGAACTCTATAACTCACGTTTTTCAAAGTAATGTTGGTTCTTTTTTTCTTTAGTAATTAAACAGTTTTTGTTGATTGCATCTACTAATAAAATAGCATTAAACACTATTAATTCTATTAATTGTTGTGGAATCAGTTGATCAATCTTTTGAAGTATCTCTTCTCACATCATTTATTATTATAGTATTAAATGCAAGCGCCAGGGACTCTACATAAAATTAATTATTATAGAACCTTAAGAAATCAATCAATTACCTGTTTTTTAATTTACCTTTCTATATCCAGTCAATGTTTGCTTTTTGTAATGGAAACAGCAATTAAAATTGTTGTTTAACAGTTTGTGAACACTCTTCGTCACAGTTGATTTCAGGTGTACTATTATTTGATTTAGATAGACGATGTACGCCAGAAGCTATTTCAAGTTATATTTTTTAAAAGAACTTTCAGAAACACCTGTTACGGTAATGTTAACATTTATGCTTTCAACTTTACTGTTTAGTTTATTGCACGTCTGATTACTTCATTATCTTCGTTTTTATAATTGTAATGGGAAGTCTATAAAATATATTACAAATCAGTTAATAAAACTGTAAGAAGGATACTCGATGATTAATTTATTGCAGGGAATTCAATTAGAAAACGCATTGTATTTTTAAATGGCAATTGTTTTGTTTTTATTTGTGCAACTAATGCTTTTACCATGTGCAAAGCTAGGTCTACCTGCTGTAGTATTGTGGCCGCCCTTTTGTTAGCGAGCCCGGGGCCGTGGTACCTGCCGCGTGCCAAAAAACACCCGAGATGCGCCTCCACTCGAGTCTCGAGCGCTCCTCTTCCAGATGTGTTGTATTTTTGTTTTCATGCATATCTTGCATTCCATCTAAGCTTGGCACGACCAATTCTTTAATATTCAATTCAGCAACGCGCTCCCGAACTTGAGATTTCATCACGACGAATTTTTGTCTCCTTGCATTCATTAGGTTAAACTTCTTGGAACGAGTAAAATATTGTTTTTAACCACATTTTTTGTGTTTCGAAAAAACTGTTTGCGAGAATACCTAAGAATGACGATTGTAACCTTTAAAAGTCTGTTTTTAACTCGCAAATCTGCAGATCAAAACACCTGAGTCATTATTAACATCTATTCCTTCCTCCATACAATGGTAGAAGTATAATTATGTATTCAGTTACACACCACTGATACGGTACAACTAGCAGCACACTTATCGATGGCGGGTATTTCTCAGAAAAGCTTAAGGAATGGTTATTAAAGTATGGAAATGGTTCGTGCCCATAACAGACAGAGAAATTGCCTGGGAGACTTTTTATTAAAACCAGTTACTCCGAGGAAGTAAGTGTAAAGTGAAGCTCACGGCTGCTCCAATAACACGCAACACTGCCCCGGCTGAATAGAGGTTCATTTGTGGTCGCTTCGATCGAGCGTCCGCGTAATCGATCTCTATAGAATTTCCGCTGAAATGTCATTGAAGAAGTTAATTGTCGCGTTCTGCAAATCGGTGTCCCGGACTGCAGTCTCTCCATTGTTGTCCTGAAGTTATGTTTTGTTGCTGGCGATCAATTTGCGTTGCAGGCGTTTGGTTTTATTATTCATCAGTCCGACTTGCCTCGGACACATAGGCTGCCCTAGTTCCGAACGAACACCTGAATGAACATTTGTCGACTCGATTGTCTTATTCTCGGAAATATATTTCCGTGTTATCGATTTGTCGTGCATTGTTAGGTAATTGAGTTAGGTTGTTGTTCCACTTGTGGGGGAAGGGTTCCATCAAATTGTACATTACACGTCGTTATTTCATGAAGACGTTACCTTTGTGGAAATGCTTTTCTTACTCATTGTCCTGGTTTGAAATGACTGTAGGAAAATTAGTAATTATTTAGGCCTTAAAAAAGCGCTATGGATTTGATATGACTTTTAAAATTCTCTGCATTTATTTATGATCTTGATCCAGAGGACGTCCACTGCTGAACCCTCCCCCGATGTTTTCCATCTGGCATCTAGCGTTTTCTACATTTATTTATAATTTGCGGGCGTTCAAATGAATTGGTCGTGACAATATTAAAAAAAAAACTAGATTACTAAGGGATCCTTTTGCGTTTTCCAGGTCGGGGCCTAGAGTGCGAGTGTGCCGGCGGCGCCGCGTGCCCCGACGGCGCGGCCAACGGCACCTGCCTCACGCAGCCCGGCGGCTACTGCTTCGTGGCCGTGGAGGAGGTGCTCGACGAGAACGGGTACATCGTGCTGGACCGCTCTGCTGGCTGCCTGCCGCCCGATGAATCAGGGTTCATGCAAGTGAGTAGCTTGTTTTTGTGAACTGCAGCTGCCATACGCAGATACGCAGCCTTATGGAATTAGCTAGTACAACTGGAGTTGTGGTTGTGTAGACAAATATTTCTTGGATTTTATTTATGTCAAAGTTAAAGTCAAAATTTGTTTAATGCAAATGATTTTGAGAGCTACTTTTTGTAAGGCCCTTTTTAGTCTTTCCTCCTTTTTGCAGTCTGATGAGATAATGTTGCATTCGCTTGACGTACGTCTAATAGGTATATTTTTAATTTTACAGTGCAAAAGCGCGCAAGTGCCACACCAGCACCCTAAGGGCATCGAATGCTGCTCCGATAGGGACCTGTGCAACCAGCGTCTGAGCCCGCTGCTGCCGGCGCCGCCGGCCGGGCCGGACGACGCGGGCCCGGCGCTGCGGCCGCCCGCCGCCGGCAGCCCCGCGGCGCTGCTGGCGGCCGCGCTGTGCGTGGCGCTGCTGGCCGCGCTGGGCGCCTGCCTGCTGCTGCTGCGCCGCCGCCGCGCCGGCAAGCGCCCGCCCTCGCCGCCCGCCCCGCGCGCGCCCACCCTCGCCGACGCCTCCTCGGGCTCCGGCTCCGGCCTGCCGCTGCTCGTGCAGCGCACCGTCGCCAAGCAGATCCAGATGGTCGAGTCCGTCGGCAAGGGCCGCTACGGCGAGGTCTGGCTCGCGCGCTGGCGCGGCGAGAAGGTCGCCGTCAAGGTGTTCTTCACCACCGAGGAGGCGTCCTGGTTCCGCGAGACCGAGATCTACCAGACGGTGCTGATGCGCCACGAGAACATCCTCGGCTTCATCGCCGCCGACATCAAGGGCACCGGCTCCTGGACGCAGATGCTGCTCATCACCGACTACCACGAGAACGGCTCGCTGCACGACTACCTGCAGACGGTGGTGCTGGACGCGCACGCGCTCATGACCATGGCCTACTCGGTGGTGAGCGGGCTGGCGCACCTGCACATGGACATCTTCGGCACCAGCGGCAAGCCGGCCATCGCGCACCGGGACATCAAGAGCAAGAACATCCTCGTGAAGCGCGACGGCCAGTGCGCCATCGCCGACTTCGGGCTCGCCGTGCGCTACGTGGCCGAGCGCAACGAGGTGGACATCGCGCCCAACACGCGCGTCGGCACGCGCCGCTACATGGCGCCCGAGGTGCTCGCCGAGCGGCTCGACGGCGCCAACTTCGAGGCCTTCAAGACCGCCGACATGTACTCGCTCGGGCTCGTGCTGTGGGAGATGTGCCGGCGCTGCGCCACCGGCGACAAGGCGCAGCACGTGGAGGCCTACGCGCTGCCCTACCACGAGTTCGTGCCGCCCGACCCGTCCTTCGAGGACATGCACGCGGTGGTCGTGGCCAAAGGCATCCGGCCGCCGGTGCCGGCGCGCTGGCGGGCGAGCGAGCCGCTGGCCACGCTGGCGGCGCTGATGGCGGAGTGCTGGCACGCCAACCCGCCCGTGCGACTCACGGCGCTGCGCGTCAAGAAGACGCTGGCGCGCTACAACACGGAGACCACCGTCAAGCTCGTGTGACCCCGTGCGTGTGTCTCGTGACTCTCGGACGTTCTGCGACGATTAGCCTAGTTCAAAGTTAAGTTCCTCGATATTTTTCTATTTATTTTTAGTGGGGCGCCGTGGAGTTCGGACCGACCGCCGCTCGTGTAAATCTCAGTATTGTTAAGTTGTCCGGCCGCCGGCCCCGGCCCAGTGACGCGACCGCTCGCCGCGCTTCGGTCCGCCCGCTCGGACGAAGCCGTCGAAGGTCCCCCCGGAATCTCGACAGTGGACGATTTTGGTTTTAGTTGTTCTATATTTTTATTTTATTACTGTTATGTAGAATTAATGCGAAGGAATTTTATGATGAAAAATTGTTGTCTTCCGTTCCGATGGGCGAGTATGAGCGCGGAGGCGTCCGGAGCGCTGGCCGCCAGCTCCCGAGCGACATGAATTGTGATATTTTGACAATAAGACGCTTTTGAAATACAAAATGTATGATTTCAAAATTATTGACGTGGCGACGTTTACGCACTTTATTTACAATGTTCAGAGAGATAAATAGTTGTAGATTGTACTTAAAAGTTGATAAAAAGACTAATATTAGTGTGTGAGTATTAGAAATGGGATGTAAAGCGCAGTGTTTTACGGAGATGCCTTCGCCAGAGTAGTATTAACGTTTAGTTATTAGCGACGCGCTCGGCCCGGGCTGCGCCCGCGGGATGTGCCTTTATTTGCCAAACGTGCCTAATGTGATGCAGTCGAGGTGACGAGTACTTTATGAAATGTAATATAGATGTTTCCTACGAACTGTAGCGCGAGGCCGGGCCGAGCGCGCGCGTCGCATTTATGTGCGCCCGCGCACGCCTGTACAGTGTTGTGTAAATATAGCGGTAAAGGACATTGCATAGGTATCTTACATAAATAAACCTTTATTGTCACCAAAACAAAACAGAATGAACACATGAATTGTAAAACAAGGTGACAAGGGCATCCGGCTCAGTGTAAGCTGTACGGCACTGTCCGTGCAGTGCTGGTTTTCAGCCGGTGCCAGTCTTCTGCAAAGTACTAATGACAGCATACATGGGTAGCTAGCAAGTGATGTAAAAAAGAAACATGTTGATAGGTAAGTTACAAATAAAATATTAATGGACATAATGTACGGATTTTATTTGCCTTTCCTTTTTCTTAACGCTGCATGCGATACCACAAACAATAAATGCTGATGAAGGGAAATGTCAGGATGTAGGGAAATTAGACGGGAACCTTTTACTCTGGTAAATTCTGTTCTTAAGGTGGATCCTCAATCGTATTAACGCTAAATTAAATAAATTCAGAGCTGCGCTTACCCGCGGCTTTATTGGCGAGGCTTTGCTCATGGTCAAGCCGTATGTGGATCCAGTGTAGGATTTTTTTAGAGGACAGCAGGAACAAATAATATAAAACTAGCTTTTGCCCGCGACTTCACCCGCCCGCGTGAAATTTTTAGTTTGTCACAGATAGTCATAAATTATAGCCTACTAGCGGCCGCCCGCGACTTCGTACGCGTGGATCCTGTTTTACCCCCTTTTCCCGAATTTTTTTTGCTATAAACCTCACGGAGCCCGAGACCTTTCCAACGAATGCAAAACCGTGGAAATCGGTTCGTGCGTTCTGGAGTTATAGCGTCAGGGAGGAAAACCCGACTTATTTTTATATAGTAGATATGCAGAGTAAATACAAATATGTTATTGTGGGTTATAAACAATAATACTGTAGTTTCATCAAAATCCGTTCAGCATCCAAACTCATTTTTTAGTACGATAAACTGGTGGTAGGGACAAGCCTAGACCAAATTGTGTTCGTTGTATACCTAATCCTGAATTTAATTTTGAAAATTCCCAAGGTGTGATTATTACTTTCGGAAGAGCCTAGCTATAGCAGCTAACACTTGACTGCCTAGTGCGTGGGGGAAGCCTACTGTGAATATTTGTCTGGTTCTGATGTGTAATTAGGAAAGGAAAGCAGAAATTAAAGCAACTTATGTACTTAATTGAGATTTATTTCACTTATTTACATTCCATCACAAATCTTACTCATTCATACGAAACACTAAACTAGAAATTGCAAAATCAGTCACTCCCGCATCTCTTACCAATAAAATAGTCTATATAAAATCTGATTCGTCGGACAGTCCAAGATTAAGGTACGAACAGAATCAGGACAATAATGGTAGCAACATGAGCGTTGGACGACTATATCTATAACGTAATACTAATGTTAGTAAGGCGCGTATCTTCTCGACGGCGACGGCCCACGCATGCCGGGTCTGAAAGTAGAAAAAGTTCGGAATCAGGAAATTAAATAATGTTGTAAGGAACAATTTATGGAAACTGTCTAAAATTAATAATATTAGGCCTATTCAGACCTAAGCGGTATTCGCTACCGTCTGCGGCAGAGAAAACCCAGTGGGTATGCGGTAATAATACTGTTCAGACCTAAGCGGTATTCGCTACCGTCTGCCATGTACCTCTACCCACAGCGGCACTGAATATCGCTCAGGTCGCTCTAGCCGCGATACTTGATACTAAATACCTGAGCGAAACCCGCGCGGTATGGACCTCTACCCACAGCGGCAGCGAATATCGCTCAGGTTTGAATAGGCCTTTAATTAGTGATAATTACCTTCTGTCATCAAAGGTGTCCCGGCTAAAGTCTTCGTACATCCTGTAACAGAGAAAGGCTGAATTTAGCAAGTTTATTCACTCGCAAGAGATCGTTTCTTCTTGAAAGTTCAATCTTGAGCTCATCTTCATTCGTTAGACTACAAACTTATAAAAATGATTAGATATAAAAAGGAATCCTCACCCGCGGGACACCTGTCCGCGCGGGGGACTCCTGCGGCTGTACATATCATCATACGACGACCTCATGGCTCCCATCCCGCTGCGCATCGGCAGGCTGGGCATCGGCGGCATCGGCTCCCGGCGCAGCGGCGGCGACACGAAGTCCCCGCGCGCGCCTCGCGACCCGCCCATCTCTAGTCCCCGGGACGCGCCCACCGGGTAGCGCCGCTCGAACAGCTCCCGCGGCGAGTCGAACCGGGCCCGGTCATAGTAGCCATCGTACGGGTCCTGTACGACAAACGGGTATCAGTGCACGGCCAGGAAAGATCCAAATAAAATAAAAGAAAACTGAACTGAATTGATTAAATGAAAATAAAGCAAAACTTGAAGACTGTTCTGCAGAAATTAATGATGGACGATGATGATAAGAAAATAAAGGAGATAGTAAAATTATAATGAAACTATTCATCATCCATCAGAAGTTCATACTTCTAAGCCAGATCTTCGGCTAATGATAGTTTAATTGTAACTTGTTAAATTATAAATTTGACTATTTCTGCGGAACAACCAAAATGGGTAATGGAAATAAAAGCTGTAATACTATGATTTGAAGTTGACGTGGGATTTTATGACCTAGTTTCAAGTTAAGCATTCTGTAGCATCACCGAGCCCGTCATGAGAGATTCGGCCCGAGTTAGAACCGCGTGCGGAGAGAGCTTCTCGCGCTCGGCCTACGTGATGCATTCTACTCGCAACCGGCGAAAGGCGATACGGGAAGTAAAAGTGAACGCGTTACCCCAAATCCTCCCATCATGCGATCGCGGAGGAACGGCGGCGGCGGCGGCGGGGGATACGGGTCGCGGCCGAACGCTCGATCGCGGAAACCGTTGCGGTCGGGGCCCAGCGCCTTCGGGCACTCCTTGGACCAGTGACCGCCGCGACCGCAGCGGTAGCACTGCTCGGGGTCGCCCATGCCCGGCCGCTGACGGACGCGGCTCGTCGACAGCTGCACCTTCATGGGCTGGCCGTCCACCATCATACCGTTCAGCTCTTTGATGGCCTCGTTCACGTCGCCCGACGCGTCCAAGTGTACGAAGCCGTAGTTACGAACGATATCGCATTCGACGACCGTGCCGAACTTCTGAAACAGCTCGCGGACCTCGGGCGCGCGCGTCTTGTCCGTTAGGTTACCGACGAATATTTTCGTGGTCGGCGTCGACGGTGCCTTCCGGCTCTTGGCCGCTTCTATTTTGATCGCTTGACCATGAACCATCTCTCCGTTTAAGTTCTGAATGGCTTCGCGGCCGACTTGCTCATTTTCCATGTGCACGAAACCGTAATTTCTGACGATATCGCATTCTACGACGGTACCGTATTTTTCGAACAGCGGTCTAAGATCGGCGTCTGTCGTTTTATCGGAAAGATTCCCGACGAAGATTTTGAAAGTACCGGCGCCCGGCATTTTAGTTTCTGAAACGCATACACAATTTGTCGAAATGAGTCAGCAGCGTCGATTATCATTGTAGATCGTAGTTCCGAAATACGGGGAATTAACACAAAGGGGACGTGGTATTTTATGATACTTACCTGATGACAGCTTGACGGCTTACAGGAACCACGCTAAATAGAAAAATTATTACACACAAATCTACTGAAGAAGTAACGAAATTATGAAACTACAGCAATAACCAGCAACAAAATGGCTTCCACTGGCTTCCAGTCACACAAATCCGCAGAAAGAACACACAACGCGATGGTAATGAACGCAACGCGATTACGCGACAAGAATTCCCGATATGGCGTCTCTTGATTGGTTGACAGAAAGGAAATGACCACGAGCGTGCTTGACATTTATAAAACTTCCGGTATAATGTTGCCATAGCAAAAAACATTTTTTCCACAGTTTCACTCCGTTTCACAGGTTTCACACAAGTTTTTACCCGACTGCGCCAAAGGAGGGTTATGTTTTTGTTGAGTGTTTGGACAAAAAAACATGCGCTGGAGACCCGGATTTATTATCAAAATCAGCGCAACGAAAGTTCGAACAACATGTTCCCCTCAACTTTCGTTGCGCGACCATGTAGTTGATTAATCTGAAAAGTTCAAATCAAATGAACTTTAAATAAATGTAAGACTGAAAATGATTACAAAAAATTGCGTTATATTACAGTTTTTTTATTATAAGCGTAGCATTTATATTAAATATATCCTACTTTCTTGATATAGCAACGAAGTTTTAAAAAACAAAACGTCATTCGGTAGCTGTCATGCTGTCATTCTCATCTGTGATCGGTCGACACTTTAGCGTAAAAAATATTGAATTTTTCCACACTGAAATCAATTGAATTCGGTGACGTACTGTGAAATTGTGAGGAGAAAACCTTTCTGCAGTTTCGAGGACTCCAATATTTGGGAAGGTAAGTTTAGAATTTAATTTGCAACCTGCTAAATCTTGAGATGCTAAAATAGATCAAATTGGTTTTTGAATTATGTATTTTGAATACGTCTGCCTAGAAGTCTGCGGAATGTTAGGTTTTACTTAGATAGCGGGAATGATTTAAATGCGTGATAATGTAGTAGTGTTGACGAGTTCTTGGTTCCAGTTAATGGATGTTTGATGAGTTACATCCTCAACGTTGATACCGGCGCCCCCGTCCTTCAGGGTGGTTTTATTTTTTGCTAGGTTTCTGTCACAGAGTTCTATCATCTCTAAATGCCATGATTTATTACGCATTCTCAAAGGATTAGATTGCAGCTGCTGCTTATATTTCCATTGAAAAGTATGGATAGACGAGAGATAGGTGCCTATATTATGTGACTTAAACCTCCTTCCTCAATAAGTTCATTAACCTTTTACCAAATTTAAGTACTCAATCATATTCAAACAATGCTACAACCATAAAAGTAGTGAACAGACTTTATAAAATATCAAAGTGTCATACCACATAGGGTTATCATGATAAGTTCATCATTTTCAAACTTATCATAAGCCTAGCCTGTATATTGACAAACTCAATTATTTTTTAACAGCTGAAGAAAATGAATTGAATGAAATGAATAATATTTAAACTTTATGAAAATTGAAGAAAAGGAAGATAGTTTGGACATTTGAATTTTGTAACACCAACAAGTTTTACAGTTCTTTCTTTATATGAATATGTTGTAATTTGAAGCATTATTTATTTCAGTTAATAAATTATTTAATAGTTGAAATTTTATTATATTGAAATATAACATTGAAGTGATATAAAAATTAAATGGATTATCTTGATATACACTATCTTACAAAACAATACTTGCATCCTAACTAAAGTATGATTACTTAAGTTTTTTACATCCGTTCTGCGCTATCGTTTCACATTTTCCTGCGTCTCACCTTATCTTTGAGATGCTGTTATTACGATCATATTATATCTGTTTAAGTCATGACAATGACAATGTAGGAATCTAGATGATGTGATAAGTAGATTTGTCACAAGTATATCAATTTCATGTTTTGTTGACAATAGACATAAATTGAAGAACAATTTATTGTTTTGTTAGTTAAATGTTACTGGTAAAATAGATTAGTATAAAAGTAATTAATCATTTTTTTCATTTAGTATCATTTGCCAATAAAAAGTAATGTAAAATTGTTAAGAGAAGTTTTCAACAAACATATTGAATGTGTATGAATGTATTGTCAAGCTGATCGTTTCATATTTAGCATCATTTTGCACAGTTGAATACATTCGCCGGCCGGCGGCAGGTGGCGCTGCAATCAATGTCCCTTCAAACCGCTTCCATTGTGCGGCACACATCGCCGCGTCACCTACATCGCTTATTATATCGCGCGAAGGAGGCACCCCATGAATGGTGTTTATGAAAAGCTTTCCAAACTGACGTTTGGGGGGTAAGTCGACACGCCAGTGTGTCGGAAAGAGAGCCAGATACGTTAGAAAGGGACAGGCGCCGCTCGATACGCCCCGTTGAAGGGGCGCCCCGCGCACCCCTCAAGAGGGTTATGTAATTCAGTCCTTTATGGGAAATGGGAGGAATGTATTCGTCCATTCTTATAATTGGCCCGCAATTTTCGTGCGGGCTGGGGCTTAATTATATGAGAACATCTAGGTCTTACTAGGTCTTCCTATTTGAACAGATGTATTGCCTCGGCATGAATTGAAAACCAAAATGTGACCAAAAAGCATTTAATTAATTTGACTAACTACGAACAATGCGCCAATTTCATATGCCGTTGTTCAGTACCTCCATTGGCAACAAGTTATGTATGTGGTTCATAAGTAACGATTTGCTATTTATTCCCAAACTTATTGATCTTATTGTTACTCGTTGCTGTAAGGTTTACTTGTACGAAATGGGTACGAAACTGGTCGTTATTTTATTAGCAAAACAATATTACATCGAAGAACACTACTACCGGTAGACCATCTTATTTTTACGAGTATTATTTGACCAACAACATAAGATTTGTCAGATACTTATGTAAATCAATACTACGTTTTTTCAAATAATCACACCAATTAACTAGCTCCAAACTTAGCGTAGCTTTTATTTACTATAGCGGTTCCATAATACCTAAATACATTAAGATGAACATACTTCACACCACATGTAGGTATGCTATAAACACGTCCAAGACTCGAGCGTTCACTTCTCACCCGTCAGGATTCGATCCCGCAACTGCGGTTAGCGTTGTAGTGCGGTACGCGAACCACTAGACAGGCGACAGTTTTGTTACTCTTTTACTAACTTACTTTATTGACTTTCCTTCTGACATACCCCATAACTGTCTGTAGATAATGTATTGTCTTGAGTAAGTCAATTCTGTCGAATGAAATAGCGATCGTTAACAATTCGACCCATACCGCCCGATTGCGAGCCCATAAGTAATTCCTCACGTCGGTGTTGTTCTGACATTGAAGAAGTCAATTCAATTGGCCGCCTCCGTTCGCACGGGATTCGCGATCAAACATTCAGGGGCATCATCCACTGCTATTAGATAATTGCCCTAGGGCTGTCTGAAGACGCAATAGAACCCAGGATTTCTCGTATGTTCTCTAAAAGTAAACTAGTTCTACCTCGCCCTCTAACGTTGATTTCGGTCCTGAAAGTAAGTGAGTAAAGTTACTCAGGATGTAAAGAGTGCTGGATTTGACACACACAGTGTAAAAAGTCCGACTTATCCGATGTTAATCTGGTTTTCTTCTTGATATTAATTACCGCATATGTTTTAATTAAAAATTAAAATAGAATATAAAACGGCTCAGATGAAAATGAAAAACTTGAACTGTGGAGTACTCCACCGTCTTTCATTATAAAACTTCGCCTAAATCATGGAAACTCCAGATATCGCGTTGTTCCTTCTGACAACCCTATATCTTCCAAATCCCAATTCCAGGAGCACGTGGGAAACCTTCGGAAACGCAGCCTATTTCCAATTAGCCCTAGGCGGAATGTTGATTTGCGCCTGAAACGCCAACTGTTCCAATTAATTAACGGCTCTTGCCTTTTGAGTTACAGATCATCGCTCTAAAGATATTAATTACTGCGTCAGGATTCTTTTCGAATAGACACTAACCGCTGCGCTGATTTATTATGTTCGGCAGTGACCTTTCACATTTTCTTTACCTAAAGTTCATTCTCTTGTATTGGAATCCATAAATCCTTTGTTCTTAACAATGCTGCGCGTGTATTTTCTAAAACTAAAACCAAATTGGGTTTTCCCCTTTTTCTTTTAAAGGATTTTACTTTGATTTACATTTATTCTCGGTAAAATTTTGAGTGACACTGCTAAAACATTTCGCAATTCCATGAAAACAGATACCTAAGAAATGCTATAATATTCCTCATCTTCAACTACATCTGCTTATGTAATTTGGTCATTTAGTCTTGACTTTTGCACTCTCCGTCTTCCATCTTCCATCTTTAGTGGTCTGGTTCTGGAACTGATTTATCAGTAAATGATTCAGATTTCTATTTGACTTAACTTCTATTTATCAAAATTTCCCCAGTTTACAAAAAAATATAAACTTGTCTCTTTATCATAAAATAACGAAATTATCGTCATGTAGGTAGGTACTATGGTAACTATATCAGATATTTCGCGGTTGTTTTACTGGTCTGTGAGCCCAAAACTTTGTAGCTACTTACGCAATACTCTAGGAAGGGAAGCAAGGAGTAGGCCGTCCTGAGGTCTTGAAGATTTGATGAGTTTGGGACTCTAACATAAGAAAAGTTAGATAGTTATGTAACTATCTTACTTTGAATTATAATAATGAATTCGTAAGAAGAATTGACTCGAGATACATTTTAACTCTGGTTAAGAATTTGGAAAAACTGTTGTTTTAACTAAAGGCAATTTATTGTCTTAAGATGGTTGATGAATCACAATGTTATCAAAATAATTGTAACACTTAAGTGGTTAACATGTACATGACTCACGCATCTAGATTTGATACGAATCAGAAGCGCTAAGTCGTTCACCGTTTATCACATCTATCTACCTAAATCTAGTAATTTCTTACTAGCAACATCACGATAGTGCAGAACTTACTTAAGGTGATTCATAGTACTAATTTAATTAATTACTCACCTCTTTATCTGATTGCAACATTTAAGAGAGCAGACAAAATATTGTCATAAAATTATTCATCGGTTTCCAAGCATCCTTCTCGTAATGTATGATTTAAATGTACAAACAGTTGATACTGCTTAAATTCATAAAACGTTAATTTACCTATAGATCTCCAAAGTCTTAAAAGATAAGTGTGATTAGGCTCTAAAAGTAATATACGCACTTCTTTATAAAAAATAATTGCCAATCGCCATCGTTACCATCGTCCTGACTTCCGAACTGACCGATTAACAAGCTGAGGCCGAAATTTAATGAAATTCCCAGTAATAAACGATTATTATGAAAGAGCGTTTAGGGAAATTGTAATAAAAAGGGGAAATTGTTTCAGCGTATTAAACGGGAGTAGATTTTGTGTTACGTAATAAAGGTATTAAGAGTCGAAGCCCACGTCGCCGTCAATTAAAATGAGCGGCGGGCTCTGCGAAATTATGGATTCAGGCAAGACGAGCCTACACGTGGAGTTATTTGAGTGTAATTAATCTTCTGGGCGCTGTAAAGACATTTAAAATAAAATATTGATAAGTCATCTTAATGCTCGACGTCCAATGTTGAAGCCTTTAAAAGTTTAGTAACAGAATCATGACTTTAGGAAGTTGCTACAGCCTCAAACGATTTTTCTGCGTCAAACATTTCCAATTCTTTTGTTATTATCAAAACTAGACTACTTAACTAAACTATAGTACTTATTACATTTAATTTATCAAAATTAGGTAAGTAATAAGTTTATTTATCCGGTTACACAACTTAATAAATTAGCCCGACCAGACTAATCGCTTGGTAATA